AACATTGATTTTTTTTTTGCAGATACTAGTTCAAAAAAATTTTTTTTAATATTGAGGTATATATAATAAATGTACAAATCTTAGTGTACAGAATATTGATTTCTTGATTCTAAAAACTGTACTGTAATTATATAGGAAATTGTCATTGTTTCTAAGGAAATACACAAGTATTGTGAGGGGAAAGGGAGAGTCTATAAATGATCCTCAAATGGTTCAGGGAAAACACATATACATAGAGAACAGGATAAAAGACCTATGATAAAGTGATAACATTTGGAGAATCTGGGTGAAGGGTATATGGCAGTTTTTTGTTCTATTCTTGGAACTTTTCTATATGTCTGAATTAGGTCAAAATAAAAAGTTAAAAGAAAAGAGAAGTTTCAGGGAATTTTGTTTTAAAAAAAGAAAAGAAGACCCCGATTCTAGAGCTCAGTGTACCTGGGGAGACAGGTTCTAATACAAATAATTACAGAAATTAACCATAAAACTGAAACTGTGAAAGTGCTGTAAAGAGAGATAGGGCAGCATGAGTGCCTATAGAAGGCAGTTTTACCCAAGCCAGGAAGGCGAGGGAAGGCATCTGCAATCCTGGAGCTAAGACCCAAAGTGTGAGTCACCTGGGGAGAAGGAGGCAAGGTCCCAGGCTCTCGCAGCTCCTGCTGGCACGTGAGGCAGGGCTGGAAAAAGCATGGAGACCAAAGCATGCACCCTGGGGCCTGTGGGAAATGCCAATGTTACTTTTGTCTTTTGCTCTGAGAGCAATAGCAAGTGTTTTTGAAAGACTCTGCCATCTGCAAAGTAGAGGGCAGGCTAGCAAGTGAGAGGGCCCTGGGGCCCACCGCAGTGGGGGTGGTCACGACAGGTGGCTCCGGGCAAGGCATCATGAATGATCTTCCTTCTGCTCCCTGACACGTTAGTTCCTATGACAACTGGATGACTGGACCAGGGGAGGGAACTCTGGGAGCAAGGTGGCAGGACCTGGGCTCAGGCTGCCGTCATCCTCTCTCCAGGCCTCACATCTCTCACAAGTGCATAGGGTCAAGGGACAGCTGATGAACTGGCTGCTGCCTCTCTCACCGAGAACATCAGGTCTAGAATGAGGCTGACTCACCTCATTCTACAGGGGCCTGTAGTACAGGGCCCAAGTCTCCACACCTGACTTCCAAAGTCAGATCAGTCTTTCATCAACATAGCATCCAGCTGGCCGTGGCCCCTTTCTGGTCCTGGATTCTGACCCTTGGAATGTCCCTTGAGCCCCAAGAGCTAGGACCTGTGGCCCTGCCCTGGGAGGGGTCATTGCTTACCGCAGTGACTCTTAGCCCTGAACACTGAACAAAACCCTTGTCTCAGGGTCAGGAGCCTAACCACAGAGGGGACCCCCTTTCTGTGCCTAGTTCTGCCTTAGTGGGTTTTCATTCATTAGCTCCTTTAAAATGGTCAAGTTAAAGGAAATGGGTTCTATTATTATCCTCATTTTACAGTTAAATGATTTGTCTAGGGACAGGCTTGTGTTCAAATGCTGACTGTCCTACTTACAAGCACTGTGCTCTTCAGGCAGTCACTTCATCTCTCCAAGCCTGTTTTTTTCCATCCCACCTATAAACTGGGGCTGGTAGGAATTAGCAAGATCCTGGGGCTAGAAGCTACCATTTACTCCCCTTTGAGGCTCCAATAGGCTCAGGACAGTAAATTCACTCCAAACTACACATTACTTAAATATTTACTAGAAGCTTGTGTATCCTGACAGTAAATCATGGGACTTGAATTTTCCAGGACTATCCCAATTTCAAATCCTCTGTCCTAGCTTTCCACATAAACCATCAAAATGTCTCAAAAATTCCACTCTCTCAGTATCCAAACAACACCTCCCATGTCTCCTCCTGTACAAAGCAGCAGCACATTCTTTTTCAGACTACAGATCCCAGTCTTTGGTTCAGAAAATGTAGTCAACGAAGCCCTGCTGACCCCTAAAGGAAACGGGGTCAGGGAGAAAAATCTGTGGCAGTCAGCCCTCCATCACAACTCTCACACTTGGCTGTTTCCCAGCACATCGGTATAACCTCAGCCAGAAGCAGTACTGTGATCAGAGCATCACCCCAGAGGGACTCCAGCTAGGTAGATGAGCTCTGCTCCCACTACCAACTGAGTGGTCGGCACCCGAGAAGGCAGCACAGCCATAGGGTTGCTACAAGGATGAAATGAATGAATTAATATTTGGAATGTACTCAGAACGGTGCCTGGCAGTCAGTAAGTGCCATATTAATGTTTAATAACTAAAACCAGAGGAATCCCTGGCAGAAAGTACTCCTGCCTCAAAAACAACCCAGAGACATTGCTCCTATCTGGGGTAAACAAGAATGGGCAGTAATCCTGGGTTGAGTGAGCCAGGTCCCTTACAGAGATGGGGAAATACCCTAAGAAATACTTCTTGCTAATGCAAGAAGTGGGTCCTGCATTAGCCAAGATCAGGAGGCTGGACCTGGGGAGGAGTCGCCACTCCTGAAATACTACAAGGGCTTCTTGTGCCTTTGCATCTGTTTTTTTCTGCCCCCTGAATACCATCTTTTCCTACCTTCAAGGCTGAATTCAAGGCTACTACTCCCTGTGGTGTTTCCTGATGCCTGTCAGAATGAATGGCTGTCCCCCACTACACACACACACACACACACTCTCTCTCTCTCTCTCTCTCTCTGCCTTCCCAACTCCATCTGAATCCTTCCAAGACAAGGGCTCAATGCTCTCTGTAACTCTAGGGCCTGATACATAGTATAGGCTCAACAAAAGTCTGAATTTGAAGTTTAATATGTGCTCTCAGCTGGTCTTCACCTGCAGGCAGAAGGCACCTTTCAGGTACACACACAACTAGAAGCTACACAGGCGCAAGACTCCATGACCAGATCAGGTTTCAGCCAGGGGCCTACCAAGCACCCGGGTCAGGCAGATGAAAGAAGACACCTGTGAGATGCAGCACTTACAGCCACCGGTACCCGGATCCAGACCGCAGCAGTGTGCACAAACTAAGTTCTGTCCTGCCTCTATTGGAGTGGGCAGAAGAGCCCAAGCTTGGGAAGAAACACTAGCAGGAGGCCACACCCCCACCAGCCCACCTACTCCAAAACAAGTGAGAGAGCCTTAGGCATTCCAGCCCCTACAAAAGACCCTGGGAAGAGATGAAGAGGGATCACCCTGCTTCCCAGGAACCACCGACCGCTGGGAGAAAGGGGAGCGCTGGGATTATGTTCAACAGGCACTCTCCAAGGTACAAAGGGAAGAACCACTATCGCTGGAGCCCTGCCACAAACCTGATGGTTGCAGGGAGGTAGGGTGCCATGTTTTCTTGCTCCCTCCAGTCTCCAAAGCTGAGCCCCTCTGGTGGGTTATGTTTGTTTTAGAAAATGGAATCCCTTGTGTGCCTGGACCTGAGTTCAGCAGGCCACCATTCCTCTCTCTCTTGCTCCTGGCCCCACATTAGCTTTGCTAGCTCAGTTTCCTTACCTGCAAGAGGAGGAGGGGAACAACACTGAAATTAAATAATATAAGTGGAACCTCCCAGTTCACGATCAACAATCAAGGAGATGGTCTCAATGCCCTGAAACCAATTACTAGCCTGGAGCTTGAGCTTCTTTAAGGGATAAGATTTGTTTCTCACCAAGTTCCACACACTTGACTGAGAATGTTAAAAGCTACCAGAATACCATTCTCTACAAAAGGTGGAAAACAGGACTCAGAGACAGGAGTGATGAGGCAGTGTGGGATCCTGAATTTGACACTGTGTTAACTTAGGTTCTCCCGCCCAAAAATGTCCCTGAGGACCTGCCCTTTCCTTGCAGGGAAGTTCCCCCAGGCACACTGGGTTCGCTGGGTCCACTGGCCCACTCTGCATCCCCACCCAACACTGCATCTGCCACACAGAAGCAGCTCAATAAATGCTTGCTGAATGGAATGCCTCTGTCACTCCAAATGCCTTCAGTAACTTGACCTTTTACATTCCCCAGCTAACATCTAATTTGCATGTAAGAGTCTGTTTTAGGAAATGGCAAATCACCAGGGACAATTCAGGATCAATACAGAGTATCAGACACATATTATTCTACTCTAATTCTCTACAAATTGGTATTCCATTAACTGTATGTGGGATTTATGGAAGCTCACTATAAACTAAAATATTTAACTAGAACGACCAACTCTCTGTCAGATAATAGCTTACTGTTGTTAATTTTCAACTAGCCAATCTCAGGAAGGTTTCAGCTTTCCATGTATGTTACATCTCAATTGAATCACCAGGAAAGTCATCTATTTGCAAGTCTCTGTACCTTAAAGACAGCTTGATGCAGAGGAAAAAGACCCATGGGTCTGCCCAACAAGAAGGCATTTTTGATTGGTGTAACCCTGGAAGAGAAATTGCTATGGGCATCTACTAGGTAGAGACTAGGAATGCCACGAAACATCCTGCAAGGCACAGAACAGGCCCCACAACAAAAAATGACCCGACCCCAAATGTTAGCAGTGCCCAGTGAAGAAACCCTGATCTAGGTAATTCGTGGGAAGCTGGCTTTGAAAGCTTTATGGAGCAGAAATCTTAACCAGGCTTTACTTTCTCCCATCATCTCCTGAAACATTCGCAAGATGGATCATCTTGCAAAATAGCTCTTTTGGAAGTACAGCTGAACTGCCAACTTCTGGAGTTTCTGAATGTATAAAACTGCTTTTAAAGAAGATGCTCTCCGATTACAATTCAGCTAAATTGCTTTTCCAAAGCCTTTGACTTCAGTAGTTCTCCTGGGCACAAAGACAGAGTCTGTCACTCCTTCACTAGGCCCTGAAGATGCTTTCGCAATTCTAATTTCCTGGTGAAATGGGAGCCACAAGGGTCCCTAAACAAATTAAATTCACATCACGCCAACTGTTCCCTTGCTTTGTGCTGGGCTCGGTGCCAAACACCTCCACATAATTTATCCCACATAATTTATCCCACTTAATCCACCCAAAACTCAGTGAGGTGGGCATTATTACCGGCTGTTTGCAGGAAAGGAAACTGAGGATCAGACAGGTCAAACAATTTGCCCAAGGTCACCAGCTGGCCAAGGGGGAAACCAACTTTTCATACGGAGGTCTCCAGTTTCCAAGTCACAAGCTCTTGCCACCACCTCGGAACACCCACGTGTCAAGTTGTCTCAACTTACCATAAATTTTTAAGGCAACCTCAACTTCTCAGTAAGTTTAGGTTGCCGCAAATGGGAATTTCCGGGGAACTGGGCATTCTTACATACAATCCCCCACTGCAGCTGTCTCACGGCAGGTACCTGATAAATCATTCTATATCGTCTGCGGAACGGGGAGGATTTATTGGCTCGTGCCAGGCCCAGGAAATGCCATCTTTGAAAGCCGAGCGGCGGATTCGTCCAGAAGTGGAGAAGGTCTGGCCGCCGCACTTGGCCTGCATCCCGTGAGCTGTGCGCCCCCTCTGCGGCCGCAGTCCCGACGGCGCTAGGCCCTCGGGGTCGCCAGCCGCGTCCGCCCCAGCCCGGGTCGGAACGCACGCCCACGCCCCACCGCCGCCGCCGCCGCCGCGTCCCGGCCGCCAGTCCCGACCGAGCCCCACCCCGCCTGGCTTGTCCCTCCCGCTCCCGGGGCCGGCCCCGCCAGGTGAGCGCTACCGGGCGCCCCCTCCCCGCCCCGACGTGGCTCCGGGACCCCGCGGCCGCCGAGTTCGCCAGCCTACCCGCGCGTTCGCCGCGCGCCTGCGGACGGGTGGGGGCGGGGCGGCTCCGAGCGCGACGCGGGGCCCTGGTAACCCCGCACCCTGTCCCCGGCTCGCTGGGGTCGCGGCGGCCCGTACCTGCAGCATCCGGGGGCGCGGGGCGCCCAGGTAGGTCGCGCGTGCGGGCGGCGCGGAAGCTCGCTCGCGGCGCGACCTGGCCGCCGTCTGAGCATGCCCAGTGCCGCCCGCGGGCGGCTCCCGCCGGCCGGGCTGGCCGCGACGGGCCCGCGCGACGGGCGGGGGGCGGGGGGCCTGGGCGCCCCCGCCCCCGTCCCCGCCGGGGGCTAGCGCACTGGGACGCGCCTCCCAGGGCCACCGGCGCTCTCCTACCAAGCTCCGGACCGCCCGGAGTCCCCTCGCGCATGCACGCAGGCATTCGTTCCATAAGCAATTATTGGACACCCACTGTGTGCCCGGCGCTCAGTGATTTTTATGCCCAGGAATGTCAAGCAGCGGGCCCTCAACAAATCTTTAAAATGAGGAGCCCTGCCCAGCTGGGATCCTGCTGACTCCCAGTCCAGTGCTCATTCCATAACGGCTTAAAGCTTCTTCCAAAGATTTATGCCCCGCCGCACCTGATCTGTGCTCCTGCTTTCCCCTTCTACCTTACCTCACACCTGCCTTCCCCATGAACGCCCTTCTGTCCATTAAATACTCAGAACTTGGCCAGCCTCAGGACATTTGCACATGCCTCTACCCGCCTGTATGGGACGTCTTTGCCCAGCTTTTCACGTGGTTGGCACCTTCTTGGTGCATATGTCCTCCTCCTGGAAGAGGCCTTCACTGACCACCCTATTAAATTGGCCCGTTCCTGGATACTTTCCGTGTTGTTACTTGATTTTCTTCATATTTATCACAATTTACCCATTAATTCTTTCAACAAATAATTATTGATCACGTACTCTGGTTCTTCATGCGTGGTGAATAGACAAAAATCCTGCCTCCTGTAGGAGTTGGGCGGAGGAGAGGTAGACAACAGACAATAAACATGCAAGTAAGCAAGCTATATAGAATATTAGAAGGTGGCAAATTCTAAAAGGGAAAAAGAACAGGGAACAGAGTAAGGAGACCTGAGGTGGAGGTGGTCAGATAGGGCCTTTGAGTGACATTGAGAAGGTGACATTTCAGCCAGGCAGATAAATGGGGGAAGAGCATTCCTGGCCGATGGAACAGCCAGTGCAAACACCCTAAGGAGCAGGGGCTGCTTAAGCATAGCAAGAAGGCAGAGTAGCAGATGGGGTCAGCAGCTGATTTTTCCTCTGATTTGCTTACTTAATTGTGCATTCACTTTGGAAACTTCAGCTCCAGCTGTGTAGACCTGCCTGTTTTCACTGCAGTGTCCCAGACCTTACAACAGCACCTGGCACACAGTAGGTGTTCACAAACCGTTTGCTGAATAAATATGTGAATCATGGCTGGAACTATCCAGTCCGAACCCAGGTGCCCGAGGTCCAGTGGGCTAGTCGGCCCAGAGCCACCTGGCGGCCGCCGGCCACATCTGGTACCTTACTTCGGCCCTTGTTCCAGCGTCACTTGTCCCGGGGCAGCGCCACTGCAGCGGGCGCCGCCCGAGCGTCGCGTCGGGGGAATTCCGACAGAGCCAGGGAGTCCCAGGAACAGGACCCGCCCCTTGTCCTGCCCCGCCCCGCCCCAACCTAAGGTCGCCCGCAAAACCGGGAGTCGTTCCTGCCTCATCACTGGGAAGGGCGGGGAGCGCACTGGGCATGCTCCGAGCCGGGCGGGGGACCCGAGCGCCCCATAGGAGAAACCCATTTGCAGAGCCCCGCGGGACCGTCAGCCCCACTTCGTTCCCGCCTCCTCTTAGAGAGTCGAAGTCATAGCTTTCAGAGCTTGGAAAAGCTGGTAAGTCAGGATCCGCGAAGGCGTTGTGTGTCCTCTTCCCAGCTGCTGTGTGGTTGGGGCCAGCACCTTACCCTCTCCGTGCCTCGCGTAGTACGAATACCTACAGCTTCGATCTGGGCGGCATGTGGAAACTGAATGAAATCAGGAAGATGAACACGTTTAGTCCACTTTGAAGATCCATTTCTTGAGTGACTACCTCAATTATCCGTCATTCTCATACCAGTTTGCCAAGCGCCGAGATGAGGACACCGAGGTTAATGAACATGTGAGTTCTTGGAGTTGCTTCAATTTGCCTTTCACTAGGTACTAGGCTGAAACTACCTTTTCTTTCCCCACAGTCAGCAGTCATTAGGTTAGACAATGTTCTCAAATTCGAGCTAAAAGACAACCATACACCTAAGGAAAAAAGACCTAAATACTTATGAAATTGTGCGTTTCAAATCACCATAACGGAAAAAAAGGAAAAAATATTCCCCTAATTGGAAACTAATAAATATCCACAAATAGAGGAACGATTAATTAGGTTATGGTATATTTGTAAAAGTAATAATAATTTTACACTAAAATGTTGTAATGGGGAAATTTACTGTACAATGTTAAGTGACAAAAAGCTGAAAATACAAATATACCATGTGAAGTTTTGTCTACACATTCAACAAGACCAGAAGGAAATATAAGAAAATGTAAATAGTCTATTTTTTTAGGTAGTGGGGTTCATTTTTCTTTTCATTACTGTCACAAGGTTGTGTTTGCAGTAATAAACATTTAAAATATCAAATTAAAAATTCTTGAAATTTTCTGTAAGTCTAATAATTATCATAATAATAACTACTACTATCAAGCTTCAGTATAATCAATATTTTACACATATTCCATCTTTAATTCTTACAGGCCCTCTACAGAGTGGTTATTTTTAGCTCAGTTTTACTGAACAGGAAACAAGGAGCTGTTCACATTTAGTGAGAGACAGGGTCAGGATTTGAACGTGAGTTGTTCTGACCTCAAAGCTAGGGTGTTAGGTCTGTTAATACTGCCTCTTTGTATAGTTACTGACTGTATACTGATCATAAGAGAAACCACATATCATTTCATTTAGTGTCTTTTTTGTCTTACTTTCTCTCCCCTTTGATGTGTTTGTAGGCTACAGATTACCTTTAAATTTCTGGTCTCCTCTTACGGTTTTATTTGGGGGCCAAAATATTAAAGTCATCTTTTTAAGCTGTTGCACCTGGAATGACATGATGTTATTATCAGCAATGACAGTTGATCTTATATCATAAGCTCCCAAACTTTATGCAAATGGAGCTTTGGATGGACACATAATCTTCTTAGTCTACGTGGTTGAACTCAGCCAAATCTAAAGCAAGTAGAAGCCCGGTGGGGAATAGGGTTGTACCAAATCTCAGATAATGGGGCCAGTGCAGAGAGGACCCACACAGATTCCGGTCCTTGGGCAATCGTTTTGGAGACAGAATCACAACATAATGGAACCACAGGGACCATGGACTCCTCAGGACGTTGCTGTGATGAAAAGACACAGAGCTGCTAAGACACAGAGCTGCTAATCTTGATGTTTACTGAGAGGGCCCTAACGTATCCCTCCTGCTGCTGGTAAGTTGAAAAAACAGTCAGCTCTCTCTTTTAATGGGGCTGGTAGACTGTAGGAGGCCTGAAATTACTACACAAGAACAGCAAACACAAAAAGTCAAAGAGGGTCATTTCATAGGATAGGAAGATATGCCACAGACCTAATATGCATCACTGGTAATGGACCAGATTCCTGCAAGTGGAATGAGAGATAAGCAACTGAACAGTTATTAGCAGCATTCCCAGAAACTGCCATTTAGACAGAAAAATCTGGAGCCAAGCACTGCAGACAGGCAATTGGCTGGGGCATTTGTAGGAAGAGTTTCCTGGAAGAATAACAAAGGATTGTCACTCACGTTAAGACTCAGGAAGTCTGGGCACCACATGGACTGTTTCAATGATTTAAGGGTAGGGCTCCCAGCTGAGATGCTAATACTCATCAATTATTTGTGCTGTTAATGCAACCTCATGAAGGGCTCCAAGAATCGGGAAAAACATGCGCAAGTGGTGCTGTATACTGACAAGTGAAAAGAATACAGTGTAAAATTATATGCATAGTATGGCTTCAATTCTGTGAATTACTAGGTTAAATCTAAATTGCCATTTTGTAGGTCAACAATGGCTGAACACTGGCAGCTTCCTGTATTTCAGCTTAATATGTACACATAGAAAAAAGAGTAGAGAGAACTGCACCAAAATATTATTGGGGGCTCTGGGTATTGCATTTAGAGGCAGAGTAATAAGACAAGGATGGTATCTTGTACAAATTAGGAGAATTTCAAATCTTTGGGCATTTATTTCTTTGTATGTCCTTATGGTTCCCTAAGTCTTATTTTATAGTAAATGTGTTTCTTTTATGATCAGAAAATTTATCTATTGAAAAATTTCTTTCCATTGCAAATTATTTCTGCCAGAAGAGTTTTGTCTGTGAAACTGGTGAACAAATTTAGCATGAGTACATGAGCAGACATGAAGTGACTGTTGTCAATTCATTTGTTTATTCATCAAATATTTATTAAGCACCTACTGTGTATCAGGCAGTACTCTTAGTGCTTGAGAGACATCAGAGAACAAAATGATTTCTGCCCTCCTGGGCATGCATTCTAATAGGGCAAACCAATGAACAACTAACATATAGATAAGTGAATTACATTGTATGTTACAAGATCAGGGGAAAGGGTGATAGGGAGAGTGATGGAGGTGAGGTGGGTGGGGAGTTGCAATTTTGAATAGGATTGAGAAATTTAATCACTTAAGCAAACACCTGAAGGAGATGAGGGAGTTATTCATGCAGATATCTGGGAGAAGAATTTTCTGGGCAAAGGGAAAAGCTAGTACAAAGGTCCTAAAGGGAATGTATCTAGAGTACAGAGGCTGGTAGTGCAAGGGGGAAGCTGCAGGGATGAAGCCAAGAGGTACCAGGGACCAGAACCTGAGGGCTGTTCCCTCATCAGCCCCAGGAAAGACTCAGCCTTTCAGTCTGAGCTACACGGAAGCCAAACCAACCTAATGGCTGCAAAATGTACTTCTCAGCACAGCAAAAGTTAAATGCTGTCCCTTTAGTCGTCACCTGATGCCACCTTGCTGGTAAACACAGATTTGAATAACTGAACTGAAATCATGCAGCCATCTTCTGTTATAAGGCAGTCAGCCATACAATCCAGATTATGCATGTATTTTTAATAATGTCATAGAAATAGAAAGATAACAAACAATTATCTTGCAGTGTCTCAGACCTTCAAGAACACTTGAATGAACTCTCTCAGGGCTACACAGACCTGAATTTGAAAAACACTCTAATGGCACAACACCACATAGATTTGCTGCTGCATGAAAAATGGAAATGTTAAGTCTAGGGACTTTGAGATCCTGCTCTGGAAACTCAACAGAAGGCTGTGGCTTTAGAAATAAAGAGAAATGATGAGAAATGCAGAGAATGGAAGTTGGCATGCTGAACTGTGGCTGATGGTGCTTAAGTAATGACTTTACCTGAAAGGGAGTGGTATCATTTTACAAAATCCAGGCAGAATGGATTTGTCAAGCCTCCCAACCATACCTTCAAGGTTCACATGCGTGGTAACAGAAGCAGAGAGAGAGAGAGAGAGAGAGAGAGAGAGAGAGAGAGAACCAACAGGTGATATACAATAGTCATACAGAAGTTATGGCTTTGAAAAATCAGCAACAACATGGAAAACACTCAAGGATTACCCCAATAGAAGATTCTAGGGAGAAGAGTCAGGGACAATACTGAAGGCAGCATTTCATAAGGTTTGATCCAGGAACCACATACTAGATCACCTTGGGAGATGGAGTCCTTGCGAAAATGCAGAATCCTGGCCTCAGCCCAGACCTTCTGAATCTCTGACTGTGGGACCCAGGGACCTGAATTTTAGAATTAAGTATGAGAACCTTACGTGCATTGAAGTTTTATGTCCTATAGCTTCCAATGTATATACACCAAGAACATAGTCTGAGTAATAACCTAAGAGGATGGCAAGTTTTACCAAGAGATAATCATGGTCTTGTAGGTGTCACTGATGCTTGGATGAAAATATTAAGGACCAGAGTATCAACTTCTTAAAGGAGATGCACATATACGGGGGTATAAGGAGATGGAAAGAGGGTATCTCCTACATGCAGGTAATAGGACGCTGTTAGGCAGTCTGCTTTCTGCTATTGCTCTTGAGTCTCTGACTCTATCCATCTGACCATGCTCTCCTGAGCAAGGAGCAAAGGCATAAGTAAGCTAACCACGTGACTGGAGAGGAGGCAGTAACGGTGGGAGCATACTGCTAGTAATGTTTGTGAGGAGGAGGTAGACCTTAAACACATTGAAGTGTGTAGAGTACACACAAAACTGAAACTAGGAAGGTCATTACCTCCTGAAAAGTAATTGGACAAGTGGGGGCAGGGGAGGGACAGTTGTTTACTTTTTGCCATAAACCTTTTGTACCTTCTGAATTACTACCATGTGAATGTATAAACTATTTAAAAGTAAGTAAATTCTCTCTGAAGAAAAAATGTATGCCTAATATTTTTAAAAAATTATTTTGTTTTACATTTTGGCTCCCTCTAAATTTTGTTAACCAAGTGCAAAGCCCAGCTTAACTGACAAGTCAAGGCTGTTATTACGAGCAGTGCTCAACAATGTATAGCTTGCTTGAAAGAAACAGCTATAGATCAAGAACTCTTAATCCTATTGGAAATGCTCATGCCTGAGGGATGGAACAGAAATAGCGAGCTTTGGATGAGGATGCAAGAGAAAGAAAAATCATTTCAGTGATCTCTAGATCAAGAATGATGCTTTCCTGACAGTTGATAACAGAATGGCCAGAGAAGATGGAGAACTTCAACTACCCAGGCTTCATCTGCAAGTCACATCCATGAAAAGATGGCCATTCTTTTGCCTGATCATTCCATCCCTGAGATGCTGGAAACCTGATCTGGGCCCAGGTGAAAACTGTGCTCCCAACCCCCGGTGACATTTCAAGAATGAGAGACACTGTTCAGCCTGGCCTGCCCAGCGCTCTGCTGACCTTCTAGTATTGCATGGATGACACACCACAGGATTTCCTCAACTGCGCCCTGACGTCCTGCTAGGATGTCTTTCTCATCTTTTCCATGGTACACACAGTCACTGTGTTGTAGTCAAACACACTGTCCCTCAATGTCTCTATAAACATGAGTCACATGTGAAGCTAAAGAAATCCATGTTTGGCCAGAGGCATATCATCTTCACATATGAGGTATGGGCTGATGAGAGTCACGTGATTCATTGCCAAGCTGTCAGACCAGTGCTCAGCGACTGACTTGGTGTGGCAGCCGACAAGGTCTACACAGAAACTGCTCTTCTTTGTCCCAGACTCCCCCTTCCAGGGCCATGTTCTCCAGCTCGTACACTACAAAACGTTCCCTGCTCCCCATTTCTTCACCTCTTGGGCTTCCCTCAGTTTGGTGTTTGATGCCACTTCCTTGTTCGGCCCTGGTCCTCCCAGCCCAAGCACTGACACAGACCTCTTTCTTGCCTCCCCTTGAAGAATGAAGGCCACCCATATCCACCCATACAAACAGCTCCTTCTACCATCCCTGCCTGTCGAGAGTCTACCCATCCTTTGAGGTCCGCCTCACAAGCTACTTCTTCCTGGATTAGCCCAACTGGTTAGGAACTCTCTAATCCCTGCAGGCAGGGTAGTTGGTCTGTTCTTTATGCTTCTCATCTCATCCTGACTTGCATTTACTTATTAATGTACATGCCCTTTGGAAGGCTCTTGGAAAGTCCCCAGTGAGACCACAGATCTTCCTGATGCTATGTGGGCTGTGACTGTTACTTCTGAGAAAGGTATGCAAAGGGCTGTGAGCCCCTTCTGAAAAATTGCCTGCCTTTCTGCAAGAAGAGCTATGTTGTCTATAAAGTCGGGAACTCTCTCCAGAATTTTGCCCGCAAGCTTGATAATTAATGGACCAATAAATAGGTAGAGGAGAGACTGAGATACATAAACATAGAAAAGGGAGACATGTGATCAGTGGTGTCCCAAACAAGGTATAATTAATCTGTGATTAGATACCACTATTCACTCTCAATTTCTGTGTGAAACAATTAAAGGAATTAGGACCTCTCCCCTGCCTCTCCACACCTGGGAGTCACCTAGTTGTGCCAACAGAAGGCCTACGGGTCAAGGACACACCCCTTTACTGTCTCCCTGCATAGCTGACTGAGCATATTCCAAACCAGCTCTGGGACCCATGACTTCCTTCCTTAGGCAGCAGGACAAGGGATAACTGAGTAAGTAAAACCCATCATAGAAATTACCAGGGCACAGAGTGATGTCTCTGTCTTTATCTACACCATGGATAAGTGTCTCATGGTTTCAATTGCATTGCAATCTAGAATCATGTACAATCTCAACCATGGGACGCTGCCCCAATTCTGTCAGCACCCATGGTAATATTGTGTCCTCACAGTATAGGAAAAATGCATTAGGGGTAGCCTTTGTCTCCCTCTCAGGCTTGTACAGTCTAGTAACCTTCTTTCTTTGACTGCACAAGGCAGACTCTTGGGCCTCTCCTCCTGTATTTAGATTCCACTAGATCCCACTTAACATGTTATATACAACTGAGCAAGTCTGCTGCTCCAACTGTGAGCTCACATCATTTCTTCTCATGTTGGGGGCCTAGATTGAATCTGTGATGAATGAGAAAATTACATGAAATTGGATTGCCTTATTTTGAAATCCCCAAATCAGCCCAAGTCCCTTGACTTACTAAGGCCAGCATATTATTTTTTTACACTTGGTTCAGTGGCATAAAAAAAAACATATGTAATAGTAGTACATATTTCAAATGCCAATTCGCATGAGGGAACAATTTCCCAACAGTGTTATCTAGTTTCTTCTCAAGTTCCCTGGGTTGAGGTCAGTATTTGTAGTTAATGTTGGGTTCCTGACCCAAACACAGCCTGTGCCAGTTATGAAAAAAAAAAAATCAGTTTTCCATGGTTTGGATAAAAGGTGACCGTGGGAACATGTACAGCTCTGTCTCTGTCTCTGATGAAGTCATTGAAAAACCAACCCAGCCTGGCTGTTCTGTGTGCCCACACGGAAATTAACATAGACAAGGACTGTCAAGCAAGAGGAAATGGACCCATTCAGCAAAGCCAGCCTTGGCATATGGAGCAAAGGAAAGTATCCATCCCATTCAGAAGGGAAATATCTCTATTAAGAACCAGTGAAGTAGTCTTGAAAACTGTGCTTTGTAAGGAAAAATATGGACCCAATCAATTCAAAGAAAAAATCCAAATGCAGATAACACTTATGTAGAGAAGTGAGTTATTTTGACACTGTTGATAATTGCTTAAAAAATGAAATAAGGGACTGAATAAATATACAATAGTGTATCCCACTGATTATCATATGACTCTTAAAATTATTGTACAGTTTGTAGTCACATGGGAAAATGCTAGTGAATAGTTTAGATGGAATGTGCAAGACATAAAGCTGTATTCATAGCACAACTTCATAAAGAAAAGCATGTTTCTGAACATAAAAAATACACTAAAAAGTATAGTAAAAGAAAGTTAACAGTAGTTATTTCTAGATGATCATAGGACAGGTATCTTAGTTTATTCAGGCCACTATAAGAAGATAGGATAGATTGGGTAGCCTATAAACAACAAACAGCTATTTCTCAGTTCTGGAGGCTGGAAAGTCCAAGATCAAGGTGCCAGCAGATTTGGGTCAAGTGAGGATGCGCTTCCAGATGCACAGCCAGCCATCCTCTGGCTGTGTCCTCACGTGGTAGAAGGGGATTAGGGAGCTCTCTGGGGTCTCTTTCACAGGGCGCTAATCCCATCCTGATGGCCCCATCCTCATGATATAATCACCCCAAAAGCACCACCTCCTAATCACCATGGGGATTACATTTCAACATATAAATTTTGGGAGGACACAAACATGCAGTCTGTAGCAACAGGTAATTTTAACTTTCTTCTTCATATTATCCAAATCTTCTACAATATACACTTTAAAAATAAGAGGGAAATACTTTCTTAAACCCATGTAACCAACAGTAAACACAAAACTTCAGCTCTGCTTCCACATAGTTGTATAGGAGGATGTTCTTATACCAGGGCGACTACACCACCTACCACAGGAATTCCATGACTCTTCTGTGGGAGGTTTGACTGCGGTGCCCACGATACCCTGGGTCTCCTCATCTCCTTTACACCAGCCCTGTTGGTAGCCCTGCTGAGTCCTAGAGTCCCCAGCAATTGAGAAGCCCATGAGCCATGGAAGTGCTTAGCAAGATCAATTGAATTCCTTCGTGTAGGAATTTAAAACTGGAGAACACAGGGAGAAAAGTTCAAAGACACACAAAGTGTTTGCGAGATCAAGAGACAGCCAGAGTTAACTGTGGTCAAATGTTATGTTCATGACCTGCAAACAAGTGACTTCCTGGTGTCCACACCCCTGTGGAGTCCTCTCCCACCCTGAGACTGAGCCAAAGTGACTTGCTTTGGCCAAATGGGACATCAGTGAACATTGGGGCTGGCACTCTCAGACCCCTGAGACGCCCACACTGTTAAGAAGCCCAGGATGAAGGACTCCACAGAGAGAGGCCCAGTCATGCAGGTTTGTGTCAGCTGAACCCAGAGTAGAAGAGCCACCCAGCCAACACAC